ATAAATTTGCCGAGGTTTGATGACTACAAATCATCACTGTGCAACCTCTATATACCCTTCTAGCAATCATAGAATCTCCTATCGGAGTAGATACCACAAGTGGTTTACTTATCAATTCAGGTTCAATGCCAAGCTTATTAGCTAGAAAGGGTGTAATATATGATAATATAGATCTCGGATCAATCAACGCATATACATCGTAAGAAAATACAGACAATATACCTGTAACAACATTCGGAGATGACTCGAGGTCCTGTCGACCTACTAGAGCATAGGTTCGATTTTGAGCACCACTCAAATTCGACACTGCACCTCTACCTCTGCCCCGACTTGTCGACTACTGAAAACCCCATGCTGGAGGTCGAACTGATGAGGAAGAACCAGATACAGATCCAGTTGGCTGATCCATACCACCACCTCCTCTGTTAGGATAATCCCGCATCATATGGCCAGGCAATCCGCAAGAATATCACGCATCAGAACCTCGACGACACAGTCTAAAGTGGGCCTTGCCGCACTGATCACAACGTGGTATTGCGGTTTCGTCTAACTAGAATCCCTGTGATATTGTGAGCCTGATGCCCGTGAACTCTGACCTAAACCAGAAGAGGTAACTCGATCATATCGAGGCCTTTAAAACTGTGGAGGAGCACTAGCTACAGGTGGCACCAAACTCCTCAAAGACTGGGGCCTGACACGCCTCTGAAGTCATCAGAATACCCTACAAATCTCGCCCTCTTATGTTGGCCCCTATTCTGCTCCCTATCTGCCCTTTGCTGGTGCTTACGATCCTCTAGGTTCTGGGCATAAGCCTGAATACGGGAAATGTCCATGCCTCCACCAAGGAGGCTGTCGTGCACTCATTTATCAGATGTGGTCCCAATTCGTTCACGAACAGATGCACCCTATCGCTCATATCAGCCACTATATAGGGAGCATACCTTGCTAAAGAATCAAACTGCATACTATAGTCTCGCACACTCATATTACCTTGTCAAAGGTTCAAGAACTCAGCTCTAGCTCGTCGTATCTCAACTAGCAATTAGTGACGAAGAAAGACTTCAGAAAATTCCTTCCACACAGCTGGAGGAGCGTTCGGATCCCTGGATCGCTCCTAACTATCATACCAGAAAATTGCTAAATCCCGTAATCGATAAGAAGCCAACTCTACTTCCTCCATATCACTAGCATGTATAACTCTCAGTGTACGATGAACTTGATTAATAAAAGTCTGCGGGCCCTCCTTGGGGTCTGTTTCGGTAAACACTGGAGGGTCTAGATTAATAAAATCACGAACTCTTGTACTAACTGATTTATCAATAGCACCGGTATTCTACCTCTGAGCCTGAGCAGCTATGAAGCTAGTCAAAAACTGCACCGCACTCTGCATATCCTGGTCTATAGTGCCAAACGGAGGAACTGGTGGTGCTGGGTGCCTCTTAATATCCTCTGGAGGAGACGGAGTAGATGAGGTATGAGACGGTATCTCACTCTGAGCCTCACTTTGGCCTGTTCTGGTACCCTCTCCTGCAGTTATATCAAGCCGTCTACTAATCGCTTATTTCCTAGTCAAAGGCATCGCTGAAAGAAAACAAGGTGAATATTAGAGACGAACACTTATGACTCAACTCTACACACGATCTAGATTCAAGAAGAAGATAATAACACTTATGACTCAACTCTACACATCCATAATAAAGACTCTACTAGACACGGCTCATAGACAACCCCTAGGACAGACTTGCTCTAATACCAAGTTTGTCACGACTTAAATTGGCGGGTCATGACTAGCACCCGGGCCATATTTACCGAGCACCAATGTACATTTTATCTAACCTTCCTTATTATCTTTAAGGGCCGGCGAGATCAATAAAAATGGTAGACATGGATCATGAACAACCAACAATGAAAGATAATATCATGAACATACATAACATGGGATGACCAAACAACCAAGAAACTATATATAAGGTACGAGCTACCATGCTGCCATGAAAGACTATACAACAAAAATCAGCTGACAAGGCATACCAAACTATACATGAGTTGATACCTGTCTATGAGCCTCTAAAAAAATATAAGTGCTGCAACATTGCCAGAGTAGGACCCCGACATAACTATGATGTCTATAACAAAAATGCATATCAAGACCACAACAAGTTCGGAGAAGGGACCGCGCCAATAACCGCTGAACTGGGCAGCCTACTATGGTGGGGGAGTTGCGTCTACCCATCTATCAGGACCTGCAGTGTGACATGCAACGTCCACAAATAAAAAGGACGTCAGTATGAATAAAGTACCTAGTATGTAAGGCAGGGAACCATAAGTACGAACAGTAATGCGTGCAGGGATAGAGAATATACAACCTGTAACATCTGGGTACCTCTAAGGGCTACTGACATGAAATGCATGATACATATATATATATACATAAACTTTTAAAACATACGCCTCTGTGGGATCATCATCATCATATCATACTCGGCCGTAATAGGCTCGATAAAAATGTACCCGGCCATAATAAGGCTCGGTAGAATCGTACCCGGCCACGTGGACCTCGATAAAACCTAACTGATCAGTGGTTGCATAATAGGTGATGTACCTGGCCGTCTATAGCACGGCTCGGTAGAGTAAAATAGATACATATATATGATGCATGCTGGACTCGTTGGAATAATATTCTGAACCTTTCGGAATGACGTAAGGTCGGTATCTTCTCTACACGTTATTAGGACTAACTCTTCATCATGAATCTTATAAGAATAAGGAAGTACCAACAACATTGATAACAAAAGAATAATAGAAGCAACATCAACATCAATCGCTCCATAAGAAGGGAAACAATGTAAGTACTGTTAGCTCCTAAGAGTAGAGTATCTTTAGAAGCGCGTTCATTACATTATGTACAATCGGAATCTTGCAAAAGAAGGAAAGGGATAGCCCACACATACCTTGTATATACTGCCCAACCTCAAGCTATGCAAATTTCACGACTCCTTAGTCTACAATAAGAAAAATGAGACTATCGTTATCGTTTAGGCGTGGTAACTATTATGTATCGACCATAACCTATTTTACGAGGAAGCGGACAACACCTCCTCTATTTATATGACTTCTAACTAGTCAAAACAATCACCAAACAGCTCAAACAACAACAATAATAATCATATTGAGCCTCCCAAAATAGTCCACCAACCAACAACACTACTACCAAGCCTTTCGATATATATTTCACAAGTTCTAGCTTCAACGACTTAGCCGCAACTTGGATAATCTTAAATACATGTAGAGTAAGAGGTTCCTTACTTTTAAACAGAAAGAACAACTCCAATTTGACCTTAATTTTCCATGAAATATCCCTCCAATGCTGCCACAAGAACAAGGAAGCGAAAGTAGCAATCAATTAGGGTTTTTCAGCACTAGAATCACTTTAGAAAACTTGAAATCACCTAGGGTTGATATTAAAAACTTGAGGGAATATTTATAGAACATAAAACATTTAAAAAACCTCCCACATGAGTCGGAACAACACAAAAATGAGCAACAACAAGAAGAACAAAAAACTTACTAGCGCCACGTGATTTCCGACGCTTGATTTGTATTGTTTGGTCTTGGATCATGAGAGAAACTTAAGAGAGTATTTTTTAGGGTTCTAAGATCTGAATATACTGAAAAAGAATGACTAAAAACAAGGTTGGGGAATTTTATTTATATCCATATGTCTGCCTATGTGGGCCCCATAGAGAGCTGCTTGGCGCAGTCTCGCGAAAACGTGAATATCTCTCTACTCCGAAATCGTATCGACGAACAGTTTAATACGTTGGAAACTAGACTCATAGATTTTCAATTTGGTGGGTATATCACCCCATAATTACAAGCAAAATTGGGAGAAAATCTTAGTAACATTTGACCTAAAGTTTAAGTAAAATTATGAACCTAAGTTGCGACAATTTTTGTCGACTTTTGTTTCATAAGTTTGACTTCAACACTTATGATATGGATATTATAGATTCAAATACCTTAAAATATGACCTTTTGAGTATATTAATCACCTATAGGTTTACCCGAAAATACAGGTTACAACATACTTGATTCGTTTAACTTCTAATACTTATTAACCACCCTTATACACCCTTATATAGTTTAAGACCAATAGAATTAACTTCTTATCATCTTAAAGATAATCTCTTTATAGATTTACGTTGAATACCTTACGACATGAACTAACGTACGTGAATATGGGTTGTAACAAAATTGTGTCCCCTGAAGCTTGTGGAGTTCATGCCAGAATTCAGTGAGAAATAAGGGGTCCCTATCCGATACAATAGTGACTAGAAAACCATGGAGTCAAATGAACTCCCGTACAAATACCTCTGCTACTTTATGACTGACGAAGTTTGTGGGCAAGGCAATAAAATGGCCGTATTTGTAAAACGATCCACAACGACCAAAATAACCGTGCGACCATGGGAAGGAGGCAAACCAGTAATGAAATCCATTGAAATATCTTCGAAGATAACCTTTGGAATTAGCAAAAGGGAAAGCAGTCCAGCAGGTTTCAAATTTGAGTCCTTCATTTGGTGGCAGATTTTGACAAGTATTGATAAAAAATTTCACATTTGTCTGCATAGTATCCAAATAAAAATTGGAAAAGAGGCGATGAAAAGTATGAGAGATGCCTGCATGTCCACCAGTTTTAGAGGAGTGAAATTCCTCAAGCAGTAATGTGCGTAGCTTAGTATCTCGAGGGACAACCCGTCGATTGCGAAACGAAAAAAAATTCTCCTGAAAGGAAAAGTGAGGTAAAGTAGTTGGACCAGTCTCCCATTTCCTTTGCAAGGGTAATAACTCAGGATTTGTTTTATTCAGGGCCCCCAGCCAGTCAATTAAAGCCAATTCAGTAACAGCCAAGGTGAGGGCATGCAATGTAGGAACTCAAGAAAGAGCATCAGCGGCTGAATTGAGTCTTCCCGATCTGTAAAGAATCTCAAAATCATACCCGATTAGTTTACTGAGCCAACGTTGTTGTTCATGTATTTGGATCACTTGACTAATGAGGGACTTTAAAGGTTGTCGGTCTTTGATTATAATAAACTTGCGTCACAATAGGTATTGCCGCCACTTTTGAATAGCTTGTGTGATAGCAAACATTTCTCTATTATAAATCGAGGCAGCCTGCATTCTTGAAGATAATTTCTGACTCAAGAAGGCAATGGGATGGCCTTCTTGAGATCGCACTGCATCAATCCATGTACTCGATGCATCTTCTTCCACCGTGAAGACTTTGGAGAAGTCAGTCAATGATAAAACAGGAATGGAGCTCAAGGCCTTCTTGAGTTTTAAAAAAGCAGCAGAAGCCAAATCAGACCAAACGAAAGAATCTTTCTTCAACAAGTCCGTGAAAGGTGAAGACAATTGAGCGTATCCTTTGACAAAACATCAATAATAGCCCGTTAGGCCAAGGAATCCACGTATATCTTTGACTGATGAAGGATAGGGCCAAGATATGATAGCAGCAATTTTCTCTGGATCAACTTGAAGGAGATCAGAAGATAAAATATGACCCAAATAGGCAATGGAGGACAAACCAAATTGACATTTTGATTGATTTACCACTAAAGCATTGCTACAAAAACTATTAAATACAGAGCGAAGGTGAGCTAGGTGATCCTTCCACTATTGGCTATAAATGAGAATATCATCAAAAAAATGAGGATAAATTGGAGAAGAAATGGTTTGAAAATGGAGTTCATTATGGACTGGAAGGTGGAGGGGGCATTCGAAAGCCCAAATGGAATAATAGTGAACTCATGATGCCCATCATGAGTGCGGAAGGCAGTATTTTCAATATCCGTGGGATGGAGGCAAATTCGGTGATACCCTATTAATAAATCCAGTTTATATAAGAAGCGAGCATTGTGCAACTCGTCAAATAATTCATCAACAGTAGGTATAGGAAAACGATCTTTAACTATAATGGAGTTCAAGGTCCGGTAATCAATGCAAAAATGCCAAGTCCCATCTTTCTTCCTAATTAATAGAAAAGGGAAAAATATGGACTTGAACTGGGACGGATAACATCGGACTTAAGCATTTCAGGCACTTGGCGTTCAATTTCAGCCTTCTAAAAATATGGATATCGATAAGGAAGCACATTAATTGGATTAGCACCCGGAAGCAGTGGAATACGATGGTCCCTAGGTCTGGAGGGTGGAAGTGACTTTGAGGATTTAAATACATCATCATAGGATTGAAGGAGAAGGCATAAGTCTTGAGGATAACCAGGTAAAGTAGTGGTAGATGTAGAGTGGAGATCTAACCGGAGGAGATAAGAAATGACATCAGTTTGTGTAAAATGACGAAGGGTTGTCATATTGATTTGGGTTGGGAAAGAAACAGGGTTACCTAACCAACAAATGCATTGCCTAGAAATGTTGAACTCGAAGAGACGTTTGACATAGTCTGTAGTACTAGGACCTAGTGTGGCTAGCCAAACCACACCCAAAACAAGGTCAAACCCGTGAAGATCACTGACAAAGAAGTCAATGGAAAAAGAAAAACCTTGAATAGTAATAAGAACATCATGTATCATTCCAAGACACGTCAACGCATGCCCATTTCTAACCACAACAGAAAATCTAGTAGATGATTCAATGGCCAATTTAAGTTTCCTAGTAGCACGCGGAATGACAAAATTATGAGTGCTACCTCCATCAATGAGAATCTGAGCTGCAAGGCCCTTGATGTAACCAGTCACGCGAATAGTGGAGGAATATAGTCCTCCAGAGAAGGCGTGAAGACTAATGGTGAGAAGAGAGGGTGAGGTAGGTGATATATCAGGAGGAGGGGAATCAGATGGTGGTGGTAACAATTCCAATGAAGGATCCTCAATGCTTCGTCATCTACGAGATGAAGAAAAGATGGGGTGTTGAGGAGAAATGATGACCTTTGTGGTATTTTTCGTCACAATTGAAACACAAATTTAGCTCGTGTTTGCGTTGAATCTCCATCGGTGTTAGTTTTTTAAAAGGGATGCGGCCAACTCTGGGAAGAGAGAGAGTTGGGGATTGCAAAGAAGGAGAGATTGACGGGGTTGGTTTAGAGTTCCAAATGGTTTGTTGTGGCAGGGAAAGAGGCTGTGGTTTAGAGAAAGAATTGGGCCGGTTGTTTGTTTGGGTTGGGCCAAATATTTCTGCTCTTGTAAAAAGGCCAAACCAATAGCCTCATTCTAGTCCACAAGATGAAAGGAAAGCACATCGACCTTAATATCTGGTAGAAGCCCTGAAGTAAAGCAATGTTTCAACATTGGCCGCGACATCTCTGTCGTACGATTAGCGAGCTTTTCAAAATGGGAGAGATAGTCATGAACGGAAGAAGTCATTTGCAATTTTGCAAGCAAACTCTCCAGTGATTCCAATGATTTCACCCCAAAAGGAGTCACAAAAACTCTTATTAAGTGAACCCAACCACATTATTTGTGACTCCGGAACATCCATTGATACCAATCTCTAGCGTTGCCTTCAAGAAAGAAGGAAAATTGATTGATATGTTCTTCATCGGGAACATTGTAGTGCTCGAAATACTGATGGGACTGGAAAATCCAACTCTCCGCAGCGTTACCGTCACACTTTAGTAATTCAATTGCTCTGTCTCTGCGAAAGTGATTATAGGGCTGTTGTTTTTATTATTGTTGTGGTTGAGTGATGTTAAAAATTGGTGTGTGTGGTGGTGTGTGTTTCTTATACCCAGTTTGTTGTTGCGGCATCGATAATTGACCCAACACAGAGGAAGAAGGGCTAGCAGAGATTGGCACCGGCGTCGGAGAAGGAGCTCTCTGAGAGGCCTTGTGCGCAACAATCTCCTGAAGGGTATTGTGGATGGAGTCCAAAACTTTGGTGTGAATAGTTGACTGTTCTTGGAGGTGTTTCACAGCTTTATCCAAAGATTTCAACCGAGTATTGTGTGCACCGTCACCCATTTGTAGAAGGAGGATCAATGAAAGCACCAAATGCAAGGAAACCAGATATGATATTCAATTGAACTGAGGGATAACACTATATGATCCTCAATCCTTAGGGAAAACAAGAAGAAACAGTGAACAAAAATGAAAAGCAAGAAAAGAGAGGTCCCAGACTGCTACAAGCTAGCTAATGAAATAAAAAGCAAACTTCATCCACGCCAATTCTAATTGTTGTTGCAGCTATATATGTTATTCCTTGCCAAGCAATTCTGTCCCTTCTCTAACGGCTTGACAGATACAACATTCCATTTTAGATTGGGGACCACGTAGTGGTCTAGATGACTTGGCAAATGCCTATCTCTAGTACTGCGTCTAGGTAATGTCGGAGTGTGCTGCTGATTTATTACATATACATTTGATATATATGTGATATACATCAAATTTGGTTCAAGGAGATACACAAGGGGATACACAAGGAGATACACAAGTAGATACACATCTTATCTTCTTCCATGTTCATCTTCAGTTTCAAATTTGGTTCAAATTTTAATTCAAACTATCTCAAGTCTATTATCCCAAAAATGAGATTCAAATACTTTGAGATGTACCCAATCTATTTCAACAACACACACTCGAAACAAAATCTAATTTGAAACACAAATTTTAAAATTCAAGCTTAAGCAATGGCTTAATTTTCTTGACTTCAGCGTTGCTCTATGGAACTTCGCCATCATGTTCACATTCTTTAGGTCACTTCATAAGCTCCATTTGGAGATTTCCTGTTTTCTGTTGCAACTGCAAAGTTGAAATTTGCGGTTCGTTAATTCTAATCATCATTGTCGTTGATAGCTTCATCTACTCCTAATGGCCTTCGACTTTTTTCTTTTTAATGAGAATCTGCTTTTTAGCACCTAATGGTTATCAGCTACTTCAAATCAGCTACTCCAAACGGGCTCTTTACCTCAAGAACTTTGTTATTTAAATTCTACAAAAAGGTATGTGATGTTTTCACTTGGATTTATTTTTGTGATGTCTTTTCACATGTTTTTTTTCTCTTATACATTTGATTTTTAATTATTTTATGTGAATGTCCCACAATATATATTTATTTTTAAATTTAATTTTTTATTTCTTCTGTATTTAGTAAATTTATAAAAAAAAAGTTTACGCCGCGCGAAGCGCTAGCAAGTTCACTAGTGTATGTATAACCACACAAGACCGATATATACGATCCGTCATAATAGAATCACCAACCGGTCTAGATACATGAATATGAATATCAAGAGAAGCACAAGGCATATACAAATAAGGAGCAAAATATGATGACACATATGAATATGTAGACCCCAGATTGAACAGCATAGAACCATCTCTATGATAGACCAAAACCATACCTGTGATCACTCCATTTGAGGCCACCGCCTCTGGTATACCCAAAAAAGTATAGCTACGAGTCTGACCACCACTGGTTTGTCCACCACCAACCTGACCCCCTCCACTTGGGCGACCTCTAGTTGCATGACCTCCCCCTATAACTGATTGGGTCGGGGATGAAGTAAGTAGTGCAGGGACTACAATTTGAGAAATCTGCAGAGTTATGCCTCTAGCAAGTCTAGGGCAATAGTATTGCCAAACTCTCCACACTCATACAAACCTCTAGCTGATGGAGGCTGCTGAACCTGAATTTGCCCTTAATGGACCGAATATCCGCTGGAAGAACCCTGAACAGACGGAGCGCAATACAAACTCACTAACAGAGCACTAAAAGATGATGGAATCGGAGTGTTGAAAAATGGCCGAGACACTATAGTGATGGCTACTTGTTGTGCAGAATAAGCTGGCCTACCATGATGACCCCTACCAAACTGACTCCTACCTCCCGATAAGGTACCAATAAAACTACTATAATGAAGAGGCCTTTTATCCTTCATCATGGCCTCTTTCCCCTGACCACAAATACGCTCAATCCTCTGAGCTATCTCTACAGCCTAGTGAAAAGTAGTCCCAATCTCTGACTCATGGACCATAGCAATTCTGATACCATAACTCAATCCCTTATTAAATCTCCTCACCTTCTCTGCCTTAGTGGGGATTAAGAAAACAACATAACGATACAACTATGTGAGTCTCGCCTCATACTCAATCACAGTCATGTGATCCTGCTGAAGTTGCTCAAGCTGACCTCTCAACTCATGGTGTGTGGGAGGCACCTCTATAGAAACAAGTTTGAGAACTAAGTCCAAGTAAGAGAAGATGAACCTATTGACCTACCGAACTCATAAGTCTGCCACTATCTCCTAGCAGCCCCTCTCAATTGAAATGTTATAAAGTCCACTCCCTTGGACTCTACCAAGCCCAAGTTGCAAAGAATCTGATGACATCGGTCTAAAAAATCCTGGGCATCATCTAAAGCGTCACCATCAAAGTGAAGAAGATGTAGCCTCTTAAACTTCTAAACCTTTTTATGCTCCTCAATAGACATAGCAGGCTCAACCATGGGTCTAGCACCATAATAGGATGCTCGAAGCCAATTGGCAATGCTTTCGGCGTCTTAACCATCGCGCTACCTGCTCTAGAGTATGAGTTTTAGGTGTTTGGGTTCCCCCTCTAACCTGAGATGTATCTGGGGCTATTTTTTTATTAACAATCCTAGAAATGACTATTTGTGCACTTCCCCAGGAATCAAGGGCTATAATCCTGGCAATATAGTAAAATTTCTCCCTTATATTTAAGAAATTATTTTACGTATAAAAAATAAATAAAGCCTCAACCAAATAAAAGATAATTTTCTCTCTAGTATTAGAGATTTGGTTTTAAGAAATTAAACAAAATGCAAACACAATCATGTATAATTGCATTAGTTTAAGATTTGCATAAAGATAGTTTATAAATTTTCTACATATATAACGTAGAACAATATGCAACTTTTCATAGAATATATGATATTTATAATAAAATACAAATAGCAATATGCTATAAACAGTCAAATTACATTAATTTGTATAAAGTCTAGCATAAACCATTCTATTTCTCTAATAGAGTAGTACTTCAAAATTTAAGACATGAGGGTGCAAAGTGCCAAAACCGGAACAAATGGACCTTTGTATATACAGCTGGATACATCCTTTGTAGCAGGCGCGCGCACACACCCAAGTCTTGGCAAAACCCCAAGAAGTTAAAAAGATGAACAAGGAGGTATTGAAGCTAGCAAAAGGTTTCAGAGGGAGAGCCAAGAACTGTATTAGAATAGCAAGGGAGAGAGTGGAAAAGGCGCTTCAGTACTCCTATAGAGACCGTCGAAACAAGAAGAGGGATATGCGTTCCCTTTGGATTCAGCGCATCAACGCCGGCACTCGCCAACATGGGGTTTGTTTACTTTTAACTCTTTCCTTATTTATATATCTTTTACTGGTTTTTAGCAATAGGAGCGCCAAATCGATTGCACTTGAATTGGGTGATAAACATTCCTACAAATTATCCAAAGAACGAGAACAGTAAATTTTTTAACCGGTCCCTGTGCTGATGGGAGGGAGGATCATGTACCCGATGGACTAGTCGAGCTGCACGCAAGTTTGTCCGCATGCCATTTGTCAAAAAAATCTAATATTTTTATGCTTCATGATCCTGTTATCTTTTTGCTTGACTCATTGTGTAATTATATTTGTTGTCATTTTGTTCCGGTTTAGTTGCTTAGACTTTTTTAACTCCCTACGTTTATCTTAGACAGTATTGTCAAAGGCTCATTTAAAGTGCGCTTACGCCCTGTAGCTCAATAAAGCTCAAGGAGGGCCCTTCGCCTCGCTTAAGCTGCGCTAAGACATACGTCTTATAGGCCATGCGTTCTATGTTTAATCGAGTGGTACTAAGCAATAAAGTATAATTAACAAAGAGATATAATAATTGTTAAAGAAAACATTATGAATGAATTTGTTACTTTTTTTTTCCTGCATTACATATATATCTTTATTTTTCCTCATTGGGCTTTTTTTTACTAAAGTCCACACCTTACCTGCACTTTGCACTTAAAGCCTCAATAGACCGTAGAACACTTTTTAAAGCTTTTCGCCTTTGGCAACACTGGTCGTAGGTATTGTTTTTTTAATAAGAAGGTAAATTTTCATTAATCATAGCACCAATTGGGTGCTCAAAAAATGTGTGTGTGACTTAGACCCTTTCAGCATAAAGGGAAATGAGGAATCTATAATGTCCAGTGCGGTATGCAAGTCATATACAGAGTCTGGGTTACACCAAACTTTTGTTATCGACAGTTGTTGCTCTCCTCCAGCCATGTTGTCAATAGAAACAGGAATATAGTTATCCAGTCTTATCAGTTTTCCACTCATGTCTATCCATCCAGGTTCGGAAGGCTATCTTTGACATCACCTAGTGCACTCCAACAGGTTGAGGAAGAGATACCGTTTCTGCTACGTATTGCTAAAGAGTATAAAAAATGATTGGGGAACTCTAGAGATCTTCTGCACTTGTAGCATAACATCTATGACGTATTTTATTAGCTACCTTTAATCAGTATGTTGTAGCATGATTTCACGGTGAATTTCTCATCTTTCCAAATAGAGAATCAGCTTCAGATGTATTTTGTTCTTCTTGTTTATGCAAGAGAAGTTCCACTCCATCGACTTCCCAATCCTCTGGACTTAATCAGCAGTCCATTGTTATTTCTGCAGTCTGCAATTGTAGCATCTCTCTGTTTGGCAGGAAATTAATCTTTCTAAACAGCTTGCACGATTTACGAGTCCTATCATTATAGTCCTAATTTACATCCATTTCCGACTTCCAATCTTAATTACCAAGGTTTGGAATTCTGTTGTTAGTTGTTTAGTAATATGAGTGCCACCATAAGAGGTAGACACCACTAAGTCATTTTGATGGAAATCTTGTATTGTTAAATGGTACTTTCCCTCTCTCTCACTACAAAAAGGAAAAACATCGACCCATATGATATGTTAAATAGTTTTTTGATGCAAATCATGATATGCTTTTCGCTTGCGTCATTTCTTTTATAGGTAAAAATTATGGAAACTTCATGCATAGACTGATGAAGGAGAATGTCCAGCTGAACAGGAAAGTCTTGTCCGAATTGTCGGTGCACGAACCATACGCTTCAAATCCCGCAGCGCTTTCCCAGGAAATAAGACGGCAATAGTACCTTGTCTTGCTATTGTTCTTTGACTTGCATTTCCTATTCTCTTCTTTTGTGTACTGTCTTTCTATTTCTTTCTTCTTCTTTTTATTTGTTGTTTTTTGTCAGTCAAGTATTTATCAAAATCTTTAGGAAGTAGGTTATGGGAATAAATTATATCAACATTTATGTTAGCAAACTCCCAACATACTCTAGAAATTTTGTGTTCTCAAAAAAATTAGAGTGGAAAATGTTTATACCAGTCAGTTTATATTTGTGGGAAAAACCTGACAACTATCAAATGCTCTTTAGCTTGAAGCTGCTTTAACATTTGAACTACGCTCTGTTTTTACCTCCTGAATGATCATGTCTCTGCCCAGCTTCCTTCATTTAAACCCACTCAACCTTTTAAATTATTTTTAATTAAATGGACCTGGTTAGATTTTTTTTTTTTTTTTTTTTTTTTTTTTTTTTTTTTTTTCTTTTCTGAAGAAAAATAGATTAAACTCTTTGTTTTATAGGGAATGACAAGTTTGATTTACGAGGGCCAATTTTCCAGGTTACGTTTTTATCCATTAATGGCTTCTTGAAAATATGATTGTTTTTGTTTGACTACAGTAGTCATGTTTCTTTATTTAAGCCCGTGCCAGTTCTTATAAATTTGAGTGAGACAGACATAAATAAAACGATATGAACAATGAAAACTATATAGTTGATCCCAACTTGTTGGGAATTGAGACACATGTATTGCATAGAGCAAGCTCGAACCAATAATTTTATTTGCTGACAGTTACCAGTTAAATAGACAATTGGTTCAAGTTCAGCCCGCCCTTCATAGATGTTTTTAGGTGAGGAGAAACATACGCATCTTTGGTTTCGACTTTGTTAACCGAGAGCTTTCTGCATAATAGTAAAGAAATTTAAATAAGCAATTTTACTCTTATGTATTAGAATCCTTGAGCCCATCGAAGGGATTGAAAAAGCTAACCAAAGAGAAATTTTGAATTTTCAAATAGTTCTCTTACAAATATATGTTTCTTAATGGAAAATGTGCCCGAGTTGTTCAAGTCACATTGGACATGGATGACTCACCAGGTTCGAGTCCATAATCATTGACAATTACTCTACGAATACTCACTTTCACTAGTAATCAAGTTTTAAGCACAAGTAACACAGGAAACATTTCAAGATACTGACAAAGAGAATGTAATTGACCTTTGACAATGAGAATGTAAGGACCTGCACTGCGTTAGCTTATCTTCCTAAGCTAAAAGAACGTATTCTTACATGTTACAGCTAACGAACCTTTACCTTCGGACAAATCTACCAAAGTTCCAGCGCAAGGAACGGCTAAAATTACTTACAGAAGAAAAAGAAAAAAAAAGGAAGATTCAAAAGAGAAAGTTTAGACAGCATCTCGAAAATACATGCACAGCTGCCATTTTTGCAACTCAGCCTACTCCTGAAAATTTCATACTGAGATAATGCGACAGAAACACCAGACCCTGCCTGAACTTACCCAACTACCATAGTTTTAAGCTGTCAATGAATTTAAACAGTTCTTCCAGTGTCTGGTCCCACAAACTTCTCAATTCAAGAGGCATCTTCTGAAGAAGTAACCTCGATTTTGTTGGAGTCAATATTAACAGTTGCCTGTGACTTATCACCGTACTCATCGTTCTTCTTTGACTGAAAACGACCACCACATCCTCTAGCTCTTTTTAGTGCATGTAAATGCCAAGATTCATGCAAGTAGGGCTGCAAGATTATTTCGTAAAGTAAGACCCCCAAGGTCTTGGTGCTGGAAGCACACAGCCTCAAACAGAGATTACAACAATTAATGGGGCAGGCTGCCTTAATAACAGACAATGCTACTCGACACAATCAAAGCTTTGACTTTGAGCTCTTAATTTACTAGGAAATTAATGACATCGTTGATCAAGCGCAAGATATTCCTGATAAATAATGCGTCCAACTCAGACAAATTTTAAGCCTCATACAATTCTATTTATTCAGTTGCATTTCTCAACTATTTGGACACTTGTACAACTAAAAAATTAATACTTGGACCATCAAAAGAATAGAGGCAGCAGGAACACTTCTGACTACAATTCTGTGGCTGAAAAAGAGAAGCACAAATAGAAAAAGTCAGAAGTGTTTAGGAAGTATACACTAGGTAAAATTGCACTTGTTCCTAAGTTCAAGGACACAATTAGTCCCTCCAATATCTAAGCAACATATAAATCACCCCTTTTGTAGTGTTCTATAATTATTCACATCCAAATCTACCATCCATTTTTTATATCCTGTTTTCAGATCTAATTTGGAAAGTAGATAATCCAGTATTTCTCAATATCAATTGTGATCCAGAGAAAGAGCTAACTCCTGATTGGGTTGACCTAAAGCAAACTCAAACTTGATTACAACTAGGAGCAAAGCCAATAACAATCAAGTTCCCCCAATAAATTGCAATACATCTTTGAGAATCATTTTTATTTTATTGTATTTTTTGATCTGTGTCACTTATATTTCATATGATGCCTACTCTTTTTTATCACTTTTAATTCTGTTCAATTTTTCTTATGTGTCATCATGTTGGAAATTATCACGAAAGGAAGAACGATCTACACATGAAGTTCATTGACCTAGAGAAAGCATATGATAGAGTACCATGAAAGGTCCTTTGGGGAGCGACGGAGAAGAAAGAAATTCATATCAAATATATAAATATTATAAAGATCATGTATGAAGGAGTTGTCACTAGCGTGCAAACAATAGTAGGAGAGACTGAGGAGTTTCCCATATCAGTGGGTTTACACTGGGGTTCTAAATTGAACCCCTACATATTTATCCTAGGCATGGATGAGATAACCAATACAAGATGAGGTCCGATAGTGTATGCTATTTGCTGATGAATTGTGCTAATTGACGAAACTAGTGAGAGTGTCAACCACAAACTTGAGCAATGGAGAAGCACCTTAGAAAATAAGGGTTTCAGGATAAGTAGAAGTAAGACGGAGTACATGCACTGCAAGTTTAGTCAGCATGAGAAGAGCAAAGTTGAGGTAAGACTAGATGAGATTACGGTGACAAAATGCAAACAATTTAGATATCTAGGTTCGTTTCAAGAAAATGGAATGATAAATAAAGATGTTACTCATAAGATTAAAACCAAATGGTTGAAATAGAGAAATACTAGTATGCTACAAGGAGTTTTGTGATAGAAGGATGCTTGCCAAAGTGAAAGGTAAGTTCTATAAAACAACTATAAGACCGGCTATGTTATATGATAGTGAATGTTGGGCGGCTAAAGTCCACCATATTCACAAGATGAGTGTTGCAAAAATGCAGATCTTAAGATGGATGTGCGGTCACACAAAATTAGATAAGATTAAAAATAACCACATTCGTAGGAAGGTACAAGTTGTATGCATTGATGAGAAAATGAGAGAAGGCCGCTTGAGATGGTTTGGCCATATACTACGTCGACCTACAGATGCACCGATCCGTACGTGCGAAACTATAGTGAGGGAAAGTATTAAAAAGGGGACGGGATCGACCTAAAATCACATGGAAGGAAGTAGTCTCGAAAGACCTAATTTTTGGAATCAACATAGATTTAGCTAAAGATTAGGACACAATGGAAGAGAAATATCTATATAGTTGTTTCCTACTAATTGGGAATAGGTTTTAGACTTGGTAGAGAACTTCTAATAATATTAGTATTATTACTATTATTTATATATTTATGTGTATATACATATGTATATTTTTTTATTTATCTTACTTTTTACTTTCATTTTTGTTTTATTTTATTTTGGTAATGATGATGATACAAGGTGAGCTTAAAGAAAGAAATAAGGATTCATATTGTCAACCTCAACTTGTTCGGGATTGAAGCATAATAATTGTTATTGTTGTCATGTTGGGATGATAGACAACAAACCATAAGATGTTGATGGAGCAATTAACGAAATAGCACTTTTACTCCTCGTGTGGCCCAAAAATCATGAGTACATGTAGTTTCTTAGATTGGAGTTAGATCCTGATTTCGTCGGAATAACATTTTTAATGTTTAATACCATTTGGTGCAGCAAAGACATTGGTACAATATATCATGTTACAAAATCCTACGGATTTTCATGTGCACCAAGAGAGTATCTGAGGCATTAACTTGCACTAGACCTTAAGCAAATGGAGTAAAACTGCTTTCTGCCAATTTCCCTACTAACTTTTTCACTATCTGCTTTTTATTGTCACGATATAGTACATAAGAAATAAAATGTTGGGGTTTTACGTGTTACCATTATGTCTGACCTCAAAATATAAGGGGCCAAATAGAAGTTCTACAGGTTGGTAAATCTGGCAGGCTAATGAACTGGGAAATATAAATCAGCCGTTGAACCAATAAGCTGCCAAATGGCAGGCCTACTGAAGCAACTGACCCTGCAGGTAAAATGATACAAAGTGCATTTTGTACAAAATACCTTCCTAGCTTTTAGAAGTTTATTTTCTGATTCAGCTTTTGCACGAGATTGTCGACGCCTCAAGATGCCATGATACTGTTTTGCATTAACAAAAACAGGTTCTTCTATGGTATCTGATGGCAGAGGAACACCAACTTGCTGAATTCCCATCAATTGAAGTTGAACCTGCCAAACCATGGGTCAGATAAACTTTGTGAAGACTTCTTCACTAGATTCCAAATGAAAATGTAATTAGTAAGAAAGACTTCTTCACTAGATTCCAAATGAAAATGTAATTAGTACGAAAATCTATACCGTTGACTGTGCTGGATAAGGTTGTGCAGGGTAAGGCTGCATGTCATAGGGTGCAAAGATACCCCTGTAGTAAGGGTCTGAATAAGGATAAGCTGTTTGCGCCTGCAATAAATAAAAGACGACAGTAGATCATTCTTAGTTCCATTATACATGAAAAAACTTAACCCATGCTGATTGAGGGGTTAGTGTACAAATAGTAATGGTAGATGAACATTCTAACTAATGGATGACGTCTGAGTATGACATTTAAAGTAAAAGGAAAACATCATACCATTTGCTTACATTTGAAATGTTTGAAAATCTTGAAACTAATGCCCTAAATATTTCAAGAATTTTTATTAAAAACAATTGTCACAGGCGGGGGGAGGGTGCTTATTAATTTGATGTAGTACGAAAAAAATACAAATTTGATCTCTCGACTTTACGTCCCTACACTATTGGTATTGTATGCTTCCCAGCAAAACTTATTTCAATCTGCATATCAAGATGAACAAGGATATGGAAATTTGCTTCCAATTATTTAAGCCGATTTTGAANACTTTCATAAATAGGTTATCACAAACAAAAGTTGAAATGAGTTCAAAATAATAATACCATAGCATTTGCATCTCGGAATTGAGAAGGCATGAAGTAGTGCATGTTTGGTGGCACAGTGCCAGGGAGGGACAATTCATCTACAGGGGATGAAGACTGGCTTTGCACCTCTGACTGCTTTTGTGGCTGTTCATTCTCGCTATTATCTGAAATTTATTTATCAGACAACCTCAGATACAGTATATTAACCACATACAATACAAGTTCATTATGTTAGGCTAAAGAATCAAAGCTGATCTTCACACAATGAAGAAAAACTCCATAAGATGAAGCCATTATCAACAATTGAAATCATGAGTTAGTCAATCAGTGAGGAGAGATAAAGTCGAGCTGAGTGCAGAAAAAGTAGTTTAGTGACTTGCATTGGTACTTCTATAAGTGTAAGTCCAAGTTTTGTAACCAATTGGTTAAACAGGAACTTTGCTGTCTTGATACTTTCTTGCTGATTATTCTTTTTTCCCTTTCTGATCCATTTCCACTCTTTTGATCAGGATACAAGGATACTTTTTCTCTCCCTTCCATTGATGGAATCACATTTTATATAGAGGAAATGGACAAGGAGCAAATATAATCTGAGGTATGGAAGAGATCGTTTTCTTGGAACCAAAAATACAAGCACTTGGGGCTCTTCAGTTTTACAGTGTTTGCTAATCAAGCCCAAGGACAAGGCAAATTGCTCGCTTGCGCTCTCTCTCTCTCTCATACGCACACATACACACACAAAAAAAAAAGAGTCTTTAGACCCTAGAACTTGTTCAGTTTTTGTGAAGTATCTTCTAATCTTTTTGAAGTTTTTAATTGCTTATAAAAAATGGTTTGAAGTTGGTATGTTCTTAAATGTCCAATATTATTGTTAAGAACTTTATCTCATTTTACTAATTTGGGAACAAATAAAAGTGTGTTCTCTCTAACAGCTTAAACTTTTAGATGAGATAGTCACACACTTCAACATGGTATCAGAGCAGGCAGAGGTCCTGGGTTCGGGTCTCACCACCACCCAATATCAAAAAGAATTTCCACGTGCTTGACTCATAAAAAAAGAATCAAGCCCGCACGTGAGGGGCGTGTTGAAGACATAATTAAATAAATAAAAATGTATTCTCACTATCAATTTAAGCTTTTAAATAAATAAAAATCATAATTAAATAAATAAAAATGTATTCTCACTATCAATTTAAGCTTTTAGATGAGATGGTCACTGGTCACACACTTCAACAAATATCATTGCTCCTGGTTTACAATGATTACAATGAGTAACAGCTTTTGGGGCTAAAGTTGTTTTCATTAATCTACCTAAGCTTTCAATGAACCAAGCCTTATGTGATGGAGGCTATTGATTATTCTAGATTACTTGTCTGTGTTTAATTTGGCCAAGTTAAACTGATCTAGTAGAGGAAAGCAATTGATGGTTAAGAGGAATTTTCCAGAAATGGTCAAGAAATGCACGGGATAGTCCAATGGGCCAAAACCACGTTACAATATCCAGTTAGTGAGCAGGAAAATACTTAGCAGTAAAGGCTCCATACAAAAGAGAGAATCAACTGAAGGGGCCTCTCTCCATATTAACACAAATCAGAATAATTTTGGAAAGGATTCAAGTTCACCGTTGTCAAGAATTGGAAACTTTGATCACTTATATTAGCTCTCCCGAACTAATGATTTCGACTTATCTCTAGTTGTCGAAACTAGTTGATGTTGTGGAAGCCAAATGTATATAGTGTGAATAAGTCACAACTACTATACCAAAAATTATGACAGCCACCAAATAATAAATAAGACAATAAAGCAACAATAAAGGGAATATCAGAATTTACGAGGTTCTGCTAATTTTGCCTACTCCTCGGACACAACCAATATTTTATTCCACTCCAAAAATACAAGTGAAATAATACTAAAGAGAGAAGATACAAATGCCTTAAACAGATGAGAAGGCAAATGAGAGGTGTGTTTAAATCCTAAACATTAAGCCTTCTTTTATAGGGGGAAAATCCCCCCAAAACTCAAGAGCCCACCGATGTGGGACAAAAATTTGCCAAATTCAACAAATCTCCACCTTGGCAAAATTCCACATCTTCAATTTTCTCTCAATAACAAATTTTGATTGTGTCTTCATCTTTAATCTTCAGTTTTCAACAATGTTGATCAAATCCAAACAATGTTGAAACTTGACCGCAGTCACCACCTTTGTCAGCATATCAGCAGGATTCTCTGTAGTATGAATTTTCTTCACCGTGACTCCACCTTCTTCTATGATTTCTCGTACGAAATGATACCGAACATCAATGTGCTTCGTCCTTGCATGATAAACTTGGTTCTTCGCTAATTGAATAGCACTTTGACTATCACAAAAAATTGTGATACCTTTTTGTTCAACACCAAGCTCCTTTAGCAATCCTTGAAGCCAAATTGCCTCTTTCACAGCATCTGTAATAGCCATGTACTCTGCCTCTGTTGTAGACAAAGCAACTGTTGACTGCAAAGTAGACTTCCAACTAACTGGTGCCTTTGCAAAAGTAAACACATAACCAGTAGTTGATCTTCGTTTGTCCATATCACCCGCAAAATCTGAGTCACAATATCCAACTACAGACTGATTGTCTTCCTGCTCAAAAACTAACCCGACATCTACAGTATTATGAATATACCGTAGAATCCACTTCACAGCTTGCCAATGCTCCTTCCCTGGATTGTGCATATATCTGCTAATAACTCCAACAGCTTGTGAAATGTCAGGCCTTGTGCAAACCATTGCATACATCAAGCTACCAACAACATTTGCGTATGGTACCTTTGACATATACTCTCGTTCAGCTTCATCCATTGGCGACATAGTAGTACTTAGCTTAAAATGGGAAGCAAGTGGAGTACTAACTGGCTTAGTCTTGTCATCTATGCCAAAACGTTGAAGTACTCTCTTCAAATATTCCTTTTGAGATAAACAGAGTTTCTTTGAACGTCTATCTCTAATTATCTCCATGCCAAGAATTTTCTTTGCCTCACCCAAATCCTTCATCTCGAACTCCTTCTTCAGTTGAATCTTCAACTTATCAATTTCTTCCGAATTCTTGGAAGCTATCAACATATCATCAACATATAGGAGAAGATATACAAAGGAACCATCTTTAAGCTTGTGCAAATACACACAATGATCGTATTTGCTTCTCTTGTACCCTTGCCGCAACATAAACTCGTCAAATCGCTTGTACCATTGTCTAGAAGATTGTTTCAATCCGTACAACGATTTTTCAAGTTTGCACACCATATTTTCTTTTCCAGCAACTTTGAATCCTTCTGGCTGAGTCATGTAGATTTCCTCCTCCAAGTTTCCATGTAAAAACGCAGTTTTTACATCCATCTGAACTAGTTCCAAATCCAATTGTGCTACCAAAGCCAACATAATTCTAATGGAGGAATGTTTTACAACTGGAGAAAACACTTCATTGTAATCAATTCCCTCCTTTTGAGCATATCCTTTGGCCACCAATCTTGCTTTGTAGCGAACATCTACTTGGTTAGGAAATCCTTCCTTCTTTGCAAATACCCATTTGCACCCAATTGCTTTCTTTCCCTTCGGGAGATTGGCCAATCTCCATGTATGATTCTGATGAAGGGACTGTATTTCATCATTCATGGCAATCCTCCACTTATCTTCTTCTGAACTTTGGACAGCGTCTTTATAAGTAGTAGGAACATCATCAGCTACAATTGAGGTTGCACAAGCAACCGTCTCTATGAGACGAACAGGTTTCGTTATTGTTCTTTTTGGCCTGCTGGTTGCTATTGATTCAAGTTGTTGTTGAGATTCCTGAGTTGGAATCTCCTCTACTGGCTCTCCTTCCAGAGGGTAATCTTCATTTGTTTCCTCCTCTGCTTCTTGTGTAGGAAAAATAAATTTTCCCTCAAACTCCACCTGCTTAGAAGCACCTTCATTTTGTTTGGTATCTTCTGTTACCTTATTTACCATAGCAAATTCATCAAAGGTAACATCTCTGCTGAATATTACTTTCTTTGTCATAGGACACCATAAGCGATATCCTTTGACTCCAGAAGTAATTCCCATAAAAATAGCCTTCTTTGCCCTTGGATCCAATTTTGACTCCGTCACATGATAATATGCAGTTGAGCCAAACACGTGCAAAGAGTTATAATCTACAGCAGGTTTTCCGTACCATTTTTCAAATGGTGTTTTGCCATCAATAGCAGCAGATGGTAGACGATTAATGAGGTGGCATGCATATGTAATTGCCTCAGCCCAAAATTCTTTGCCCAAGCCAGCATTGGACAACATACACCGTACCTTCTCCAGCAAGGTCCGGTTCATACGTTCTGCCACTCCATTCTGTTGTGGTGTATGTCTAACAGTGAAGTGTCGGACGATGCCATCATTTTCACAGACCTTATTGAAATGATCATTTTTGTATTCACCTCCATTGTCTGTGCGAATACACTTGATCCTCCTGCCTGTTTGATTCTCCACCATCGTCTTCCATTTGAGAAAAATTCCCAGCACTTCATCTTTGTTTTTCATTGTATACACCCACACTCTTCGAGAAAAATCATCAACAAAGGTTACAAAATAGTGCTTCCCACCCAATGAAGGTGTTTTGGAAGGACCCCAAACATCAGAGTGTACATAATCCAAAATGCCTTTAGTATTATGGATCGCTGTACCAAATTTAACCCTTGTCTGTTTCCCTTTGACACAATGCTCACAAAACTCCAAGTTGCAAGCCTTTACTCCTTTTAACAATCCTTGATCTGATAGAGTTTTCAAGGATTTTCCTCCAGCATGTCCCAAGCGCATGTGCCATAGCTTGGTTGCTTCTGCCTCTTTGTCGTCACTGGATGTCACTGTCGCTGTCCCAATAACTGTACTGCCACGATAGCGGTACATATTATTATTCTTCCGATTAGCCTTCATTACCACTAGTGCACCGGAGCATACTCTCATCACTCCATTTTCTGCAATGATTTTGAACCCTTTTGATTCTAGGGCTCCCACAGAGATGAGATTCTTCTTCAAATCCGGTACATATCGAACATCTATCAATGTTCTGATCATTCCATCATGGTTCCTTAATCGTATTGAACCAATGCCATATGAGGTAAGAGGGCTGTTATCCGCTGTGTGGATGACTCCATATTC